TACACTCACCAGGCATAGCAATGACCCTCCTACAGCCCTCGTTCTCCTTCACATCCACGTCACAACAGCGCCACTTTCCCGCCTTCTTGTCCCACATGCCCGGGTGGTAGGTCGACAGGAACTCCGCCCCCATGTTGATGCATTCTGGGAGGAAAAACATTCTCTTGTCACAGAGCTGCTAACACAATGCTTAAATTATAAGTCATATTGTGTTTGTTTTGGTAAACTCAAAATAACCAGTGCTTTAAAAAGTTTCATTATATTCTGTTTGTTTTTTTTAACTTAAAAAATAACTGCTTTGAAAAGTGTCATACTATTTAAGTGCTTTAAAAGGGCCATATTCTGTTGTTTTGATGAAACGTTAAAATCAGTGCTTTAATTAAAAAGTCAACATTATTACATGACAAAAGGTGAAAATATCTCAATAGTGGGATTTTTGTAAACGAAATAAAAGAACAAAATAAGCAACAAACACTTTTACCAAATTAAAAACTAGAAACCTAAATAAATAACTTGTGTTGTTAATAATTATGTTATGACCATGATGTTGCTTACAGAAGAATAAATGAGATGGCGTCACAGTAGGAGGAAATGAGTTCGATTCCTTCATGGGGGAAGATCCTGTCAGATCTACATTACCGACCACTTGTCTTGGAGAATCACCTGAACCAACAACCACTTCTTACTTTCTTGCTTCTTTCCTCAATCATAATGGCACTGTCCAAGACAAGACAACCATTTTCTCTTTGGACATTTGGTCGCTTTTAAGGATAAGCGGGCTAACCCATTTCGGGATTTCCAGAAATCTTGACCTACACAAAAAGTGGGCATTTCTCCCTACCTATAACAGATGTTTGGTTACATTGGTGTGTATATTTGTTTGGTTATAGAAAAAATTCCCCTTGTCTTTTAAAGATACTAAACAAGGAGCAAAAACTTTAACTATTATTTTCTCAAAACAGTTGGGTTTTTTTTCAGGAAAGCCCCACTGAGCTAAAAAGCGATCAATTTTGAGTGGATTCCAACCCCTCTGATTGTTGATTTGGAAATGTCCCAAACATGTCTGCTCACCCTATAGACAATTGTGGTCCTCTTGGATAGTTGGCGGGTTTACACCTTTTCGCCCCCTATCAAACACATGTAACTTCCTTGTGGATTTTCCTTCTCTTCTTTTTATTTAACATCTCTTAAGAAATCAAATGCTTGATCAAGCCCACATGGGACGCTCAATGTTAAAAACAATCAGGAATGACAAATAAATGCAGTTTTTGGGACACCTGAATAGACCTAAAGGTCTTGAACATCTAGCTCTCACTGGCAAAATTGAAGGCAAACAAGGCAGCGGTAGGCCCAGAACAACATACTTAGGGAACTTAAACAAATGGGTAATGGGGAAAGATTAGGGAACCGTAGCTTTTGAAAGAGCATCTGAGCTAAGGAATGAATGGAGAACATTGATCGGCAATGTCTGTCGCAGAACTGGTACTGGATGAATGAACATCTCCTAACCACGGAGCTTATATGATCTATTTGTGTGGCCATGTCGTTCATACCCTCCTCCTTTTGTTTTCTTTGCATGTTAGCCTCTGGTAATACACCTCACTTATATGGCCTATTTGTGTTGCAAGTGCCATACATTTTCAAATCAAACAAAATAACGACGACAACAACAACAAGAACAACAACAACACCCAAAACACTCAACAATGTTCCGGGTGGTCTCAAAGCTTACCTCGTGGGTGGTTGGAGGGCGCCACTGGTAGGTCCTTCTTCCTTGCTTTCCCTCCAAAGCTTCTGTCTGTCCCTCTTACTTTTTCCCAGCACTATATGACCATCATTGTGTCGATATGCTTCTCTTTACTCGTGGGTGATTGGTGGTTGGCGGGTGCTCTGATGTGGTTTGCTCCTTCTTTCCTATCAAACATCTATCATCCTGACCACCCCTCCTTCTTTGTTATGTTTGCTACTCTCTTGTAACACCTCTTATCTTCGGCACTGATATGACTTTATTGTCTTGCAACTGCCGCAAAACTCATACTAAAACTCAACTATATCTTTACTCACACGAACAAACCAAGCGTACCTCTCTTGATGGCCTTGACCCAGAGATCTCTGTCGTGTTTGGTGTTGGCGACCACATAGAGCCTCAGTAGATCGTACTCGTCAAAGTAGGCCACCTGGAGGGACGAAGAACCAGGGCGGTGAGTGGACTTTTCATAATGAGTGTAGACAGACAGACAGACAGACAGACAGACAGACAGACAGACAGACAGCCAGACAGCCAGGACGGCGTTAAAAGGTTTTTTTTCACAAAATGGTCGTTTTTAAGCACAAGGGGGCTATCCCGAAAAATGCTGTTTTGAGAAAATCGAAGGTAATTCTTTTGCTCCTTGTTCAGTTTCTATAACCAAACAAATATACACACCAAAGAAACCAAACTTCTCCTATATGTAGGGCAATGCCCACTTTTGGTGTTGGTCAAGATATCTGGAAACCCCCAAAATCTGGGTTAGCCCACCTGTCCTTAAAAGCATCTATATAGAATTTTTACCCCCC